ATCTCTATAACAAAAATTTGAAACAAAACAATTTGGCAASTGCACACTGAAAGAGAAATCCCTCAGTTTGGGATCCCCTCAGAGGAAATGCTGTGAGGGAGCTTTCAGTGTCTCATGCAAGAGATATATGTTTTAATAACAATAATAAAAGATTATTCCAGTTTATCTGTTGTCCAGACCACACCAATGCCTCTGCCCAGTTGTGACCCCAGTACTTTTTACTTTACTTAAATATACTAAAATCATATAAAATTCACAGACAAGTACCTGCTGCTCACCAGAGATCCACACTAGCAGATGCTGAGGGTTATGCCTTTGAAAATTATCAAAAAGAACTTTTCCTGTCCTAAATTTTCACTGCTTCCTTCTTCTTCCTACCCCCAGACACAAAGGCTAAGGTACTGTGATCCTCTGGTACCCAGGAGCACTGCCAGCAATGTACAGGGGATTATTGGCACAAACACCCTCTGGTGCCCAGTTTAATGCAGAAACTGAAATTTCCACGTGTGTCCTGTGTTGGAGAAGCAGAAAAAAACCCCATTTTCTGCATTAGATCTGCTCTCAGCCCTTCCCAGGAAGCAAATCTCCCCTTGACTCCAAATAATTCAGGGGCACGGAATTAAATCCTTCGGCACAGAAATAAACTCAGCCAGAATTGACCACCACCAAGTCCTAAAGCAAACCCCACCTTTCCGGCAGTAAATGCAAAATAAAGGTTTAAATCACTTATCAATGCATTTTCCAGCATTTCCTCCTTGCCAAATCAGAACGGATTTCAGGTGAGGTGTGACCTTGTGTTTAATGACAGAAAACTCCTACTTTTATAAGAAAGCTGGACACTGTCAGTGCCCTTCTTTCCTTTCCTGCAGCTATTGACAGCTGATGCTAAAATCCATCCCCGAGATCATTCCTGCTGTGCTGGGAGCTGCAGCTCCTTCGGGATTCAATATAAGAAAAGAAAACTCTTTCCCCTTGGATTTCTCTGTGCCAGTGGCTGYTCCCGACCCTCTCCATTCGCTGAGCTCTGCTGCCCTCTCCTGCAGCAGCTGCAAACTCCAGGATTTCCATTAAATAACTCGACATTAAAGCCATTAATGGGAAGGTGATTAAACCCCGAGGGGATGGGGCAGGAGGTTGAGGAGCAGGGAAGACTGAAGCTGGAAAGGGAATGTGCTCATGACGGCGTACAGAGCACAGCAAGGGGAAAAATAATGATAACTAAAAAATGCTAAAAATTAACAGCAATGTTGATGGTGATAATTGTAATAAAAACAATAAGAACAATAGTAATAAATTAAAAATTATAATAATCATTAAGGTTGGAAGACACCCAAGCTCAACAAGCCCAGCCTTTGACCTAATGCCACCATGCCCACTAACCCACATTGTCCCCAAGTGCCACATCCATTCGTTTTTTGAGCACTTCCAGGGGTGGTGCCTCCACCATTCCATGAGGATGCTGTTCCAGGGCTTAACCACTTTTTCAGTGATGGAATTTTTCTGAATATCCAACCTGAAACTGGACCTGAATTGCATCCCCTGGTGCAATTTGGGCCGTTCCCTCTCCTCCTGTCCCTGTTCCCTGGAGCAGAGCCCGACCCCCCCGGCTGTCCCCTCCTGTCAGGAGTTGTGCAGAGCCACAAGGTCCCCCCTGATCCCCCTTTSCTCCAGGCTGAGCCCCTTTCCCAGCTCCCTCATCCCCTCCTTCCTGGGATTTATGATCCTGAACTCATTTCAGATGTTATCACAAAGGACAGGAGCTTCACAGAAACACAAACATTAAAAAAGTTCATCAAACATGAAAATGTGGAGGAATGGGAAAGGGAAAAAAATGCTCTTTGCAAATAATCTTGTGGCGGAGGAATTCGCCTGCAAAGCAGTCAGAAAGGATAAACAGATGATTTCAGTTCAGTTCAAAGAATGGGTGGGCCTTGGCTTTTKGATGAGATGGTTGTGGCAAAAAATAAGAATAAACTGCCTCCACATTGGCTTATTTCTACTGGGAGAAAAAGCTGCTACCAGAAAACATCACATCCAGGTGATGTCTGACAAATTCTCCCCCTGCTCTCTTTCCCTGTTAGCAAGGCTGCTTTTCCTTGCAATGCATTAATCTCCCTTTCAGCTGCCTTTTAATCAAAGCCAGCCTTAACTCTGCAGTGGGAAAAGAAAGCAGATGCTGAGGTAACCACAGAGCAGAACTGGGAGAGAAATCAGAAAGAAAAGTCTCCTTGGCTTGATAAGGATTTAAGAACTATTTTTCAAGASGGAAGGGAGAAAGAAAATGCTCCCTTTTGTTCCAGCTTGGAAAAATGGCTATGATTGCCTTCTTTTCCCAAAAGCTGAAAGCAAGAGCTGGTTTGTACAGTATTTTGCACATGGAAGCTCCTATTTAGTTGGGCAACGTAGAAAAAGTAAAAAATCAATGCTGACAATTTGCAAATCAGTCCTGACATTGTGGAAATGTATTTTTTTTTTTTGGTTGTCAGGAATCAAGAAACAAGCAAACAAAAGTATTTCCAAAGGGTCACCAAAATACCCTGTTATTCATCAGTCTGGATTCAAAAAGCAGGCAAAAAAAAATTTTACTCAGCAAGGCCATAACTATGAAACGAGTTTGAAAAAAATGACCACACATAAAAAAAGCAAAAGGATGACCTTTTTGCAACTGAAATGTGTTGCCTGCAGCTTTTTCTTAGTTACAGCAAGTGAAATAAAAGCCAGACAGGTCTAATAAAACTCCATCATCTCCTGTTAGACCAGGGTGAAAAGTAATGACAGTGCATTTTTTTTTTAAAAAGCTCTTGTTGGCATCTGTTTTGACACAATCCCTCAATAAACCTCTGGAAATCAGCCATGAAAATGGARTTTTGCAGAGGGAATATCCCTGACCTGCAGCCACTCTTTGCTAAATGAAGTAGCCCTGACAAAGTTCTGGGGGGAAATAAATTATTTTCAACTTGGGGATGGGATTTCCAGAAAGAAAACCTTTAATTTGGGCCAAAAAGTCACACTGGAGAAGTATTTAACACCTTTGCCTTGAGCACCTGCTGAGTTTGGTGTGAGAGGCATTCCTGGCTTTCCCCTCCCATCATCCACAATTCCTGCTTTGGATGCTGCAGTTGCAGGGAAGGTGGAGAGGAAAGTTTAATGGTTCACATAAATATCAGGGTTGTGATGAATTTTTCAGAGAAAATAATAATTATTAAAAAAACCCCAAACCCCAAACTCTTTTCCAAGTTATTATTCTGCTTCTCACCAGAAATTCCATTTTTAATTGAGCTTTTAGAATACAATTGTGGGCAGCAAGTGATCACCTAAACCAAATTCATTTYCCTTTAGAAAATATGTGGTTGTCCTCGTTTTCTGTCTCCAGAATCAACTGCAGCAACACAGGACCCCTCAGATTATTGGCTCACACTTCACATCAACACTCTGGGCCAGGTTTCTTGATGTTTAATAAATGCCTCTCTGGCTGCAGCATCTCTAAATTGGCAGACTGCTTTTTAATGAAAGCAATGATAAATAATTTGCAATACAGTGCTAATCATTTTTACACTGCAAACAAGTGTTTCATGCTGTCATTTTCCATAATTATTCCCCCAAATCAATTCTATGTGTATGTGTATATATACACATCCACACAGCAATAAACTGAGTTTTTGAGAACTGCTTCAGAAACCGACCCAAGTCAGGCAATTTTAGACAACTGTTGATCAATATGTTTAATTTACAGGCTGCCTTTATTGTGTAGCACATCCTGATCCAATTAAAACTCTAATTAGGATCTGCCTTTACTGAAGCTAAGCTGAAAGACCATTTTCTGGACTTCTCATTGATTGTTAGAATTAGTAAATCCATTATCATAAAAACTGAACTAATTTGGACTTCCTTTAAGAATCACATCAGGATTTGAAAAGGAACAAGCCCATTTTTAAAATTCAGCACTGCCAGGGGAGTCCCATGTCAATATTTACCATAAGCTTCCCTCAGGTTGTAAAAGCACCAGTGGAATGTGAGCACACAGATGCAGAGAGAAAACGCCTGTGGGACAACTGAGCTCCAGAGATGCACAAATTTCAGATGCTTCACTGAACTGCAGACAACTTATGCATCCCTGTAGACTCAATCTTAAGCTTTTTTTTCCTTTTGTTGGTCATGGAAGCCCAAAATTATTCATATAAAACAAGGAGAGGGCTAAGCAGCACTAGTTATGCTGCAAGATTTTTTCTGACAAAACGTTCCTCATCTAGACAACCAAAATGCCCAAAAATCTTATTTACAAAGGTCCTGGCCTTTTAWAAATGAGCCTTTGAAAAGTTACTGAATGCTCTGATAATCCAACATCACAGTTAATTAATACAATGCTGGTGTTCAAAGCCAAATGCACAAAGAATCTCTGTACATTGACTTGTAAACACAATTCCTACCGTTTCCTCACTGCCAAGGATGGTCAAACACAGGTTCCACAACCATGGCCTCACTGCTGGCAGAAGCTTCAAAATGCAAAACCTAGAAAATACTACAAAATGTACAGGGCACAAAGCCCTGTGGCTGCTTGCAGCAGTTTGARGATGGAATTCCCCAAGGGATTTAATAGGAGTTAAAATCATATTTATTGGAAACTATTAACAATTCATTCAATTTACTCTGTAGTTCTGAGAACAGAAAGGGAGGGGTTTTCCTCCATCACTTATTTCTGTGCCATTCAAAGCTCAGGATGTGCAGACCATGTCCTGCTCTAATTTAACCCACACAAATTTTACATCTGCTACTAAAACTTGGGCATTAATACTACTGCAACACAGCATTTCATTAGAACTACTATGGAAAATGTGACTCARATGTCCAAGGGATAATCACTTCCTCCTTTTAACCCAGCCCCGAGCATTGTTCCTCTCCAGAAAGCAAAATTGTAACGGTTGCACAACTACCACTCAATTCCAGGGCAACAGATGATGGGTTTGTATTAAATCAAGACAMACAGAGATTTTAAAAATACTTTTATTATTGTAATGAGACTGCAATATTATCTAAATAAACTTCTCAATCACTATTACACTCTATTTTCCTCATAAAAGTTCCAGTTGGGAATGCCACTAAATATTCTGCAACCTGCACACTTACAAGTTTATAGAAACATTCAGTATTAAAAGGCCTTTGCAATGTTTTTTTGAAAAACATCAGCTATAAATCCAAGTGTACTAAAGKAGATTTATTCCAGAGACTCACTGACAAACAACTCTTCATGACCTGTCAAAGAACAAGTTTGGGTGTGCTCACGTTACCTCTGCTACAAAAACAAGARTAGGGACTGAGGAGAGTTGTAGTAGTCAGTGTGAGCCAGAATTTAGGCCRCTGCTGATAACAGTTGATTTTGATTAATTCTGTTGCTCACGTAATACTTAAGGCAAATTTCCTTGTACACTCATTTTCCCAAGCTAAAGCTCCTACATAAGCACAATTCACAATACACTGAACAAAAGGTATTTAATGGGGTATGTAAGATGTGGCATGAACAAATACAACATACTGCAGTTCTAACTCTTCTGTTCAGAATGATCCAACTCCCACTTGCAGTTTGTATTCAAAAACATTAAACATTTTCCARTTTGAACAGAAATGTTATTTTAGATTTGAACCAAAAGTTTTCTGGAGCTGGAGATGTCCCAATGGAGTGCAGAACACAAATCCACAAATCACTGAGCAGAAGAAGAATCCAATGCAGTTACTACAAGTAGACAAACCATGAATTACATTCAAATATTTTACAGGATTCTTTTCACCACAATGTACCAAACTTCTGTAGCTCCAACAAGCTGGGAAAAGGAAGAATTTAGGTTTTTAGCCTAAATGCCATCAATTTGMAAGGGCAGTGTACCATCAGCATCCACCCCTCAGCTGTAAAATTGCAGCAATACACAGAAAATGTATACCTGGCTTTAGAAACAACGCAAACAAGTTCTTAAATACTGAAATACTGGCACAAAAATGAGAAAAGAGGCTYTTGGTGGCATTCTTGTGTATCTGGACCATAAGATGTGTTTGCAGAAGTGTCTCATGAAAAAGCCATCGTTTTGGCTTTGCACAATGTTTTTTTCATCTCTGTTAATCAGAAATTCAAAGGAAAGAGTGASTGGGGACAGCAGCAGCAGTGTCCTGACCCTGCTGCAGGAGCCCACCTTGCTCTGGAGGTACAACCTCCTCCCATCTCTGATGGGCAGAATTCAGTCCCCAAGGTGTGCATGGAGTGCAGCCTTAAAAATAAAATGGAATGTAACAATATCTTAACTGAAAAAAGTGACATTTCACTAATTTCTGGAATGTTAGGAGAGTAATGTTTGCAAGTGAACCCGTTGAAGATTCCATTCCAAACAGTTATGAAAATTACAACACAGTGARCTGATCTAAAATAACAGTAATTTTAAACAAGAAATTGGACTGAAAAAACATGATGTTCCAGGAAAGAACTGTGTGCTTTGAGATCTACATTTATTTTTAAACATATTTATATTTTTACAATACAGACTCAATCATTTATACATATAAATACAACAGTATTGAGATTTGATTTTTAGAAGCAAATGGATCAGACTTTTACACAGGTATGGAAGCYTTTCAGCACGTTTTTAAATTTGATTCTTGCTACAGCTGAAAAAGTGGAAATATTCTTGTATAATTTTACCATAAGCTTCTTTCCCCTCTTGTGAAAATGGAGACAAATTCAACAAAAAGAAACACCACAGTTCTTAATCCCAACTTTGAACACATTTAACAGGACTCGCTCAAATCACACAGATCAACTATTACAGKGATTCAAGAGAAAAATGCATTTTCACACAGTGGAACCCCAGTCTGACAGACAACCTCATAAACATGGAATTCTCATTCCTGTACCACCTCTTCCTTCGGCTGTTTSAGTTCAGTCAGCAGCTCTTTCCCACTTTCTCCTGCTTTGGAGGCAAAGAGAACAGCTCCCTCTTTAAAGCCCAGGAGCTTCAAGCTTCTGGCATAATCTGCATACACAGCGTGGATCAATTTATGTAAAAAAAGCATTAAGGAAAACACAAATGAATAACAAAATGAAAAAAAGCTCAGAATCCTTTTTCTTCCCCCTCTTAATCCTTGGCTCTCCCAAGGTGAAAATACTGAACATTGCTGCCAATTGTGCTAATCCAATATTTTTTGGCACAAATAAGGAGAAAAAACTTGCTTTAAATCCACCTTTTGAACTCATATTTGTATTTATAAAGCAACATGCAGAGTGCTATAAACTAAACCAGATATATTTCAGATATCCTTAAGTACCTACCATGATCCAATGGCGTAACTTGCAACAGAAATTTTAATATCATAAAGATTTTTTTGTTAATCATACCTGAAGTTATCTACGTGACTTATTAGAGGCTTTTTTTTAATTTACAATCTGGCACCAGTGATGACTCCATAAAACAGGATCAGGTATTATTTACATGCGCATTAGTATTTATTGCATGTAATACGGAAGTTTGAGCAACTGCTCAGACTTTACAGAACACCAGGTCAGATGTGAAGATTTCAGTGARCAAAGAGGATTTCAGAAAAAGGATATTTGTATCATCGTTAACTTCAAATGCCCCGTACTTCAGACAAGCTTCTACAAATAAAGCTGCTCTATCAAAGTACCTCATACTGTTAAATGGGGAGAAAAAAAAATTGTTAGGATACAAACCAGAAAAATATTCCAGGACATTGCACCAAAACACTTGCTTTCTAAAGAGGCTTTCTAAAACTTGCACTTAAGAACTGACATTTGCTATAAATTTCTTTGAAAGATCAGGGCTGAAGTTACTCAGAAAAAATCACAGATACTATAAATCATTACTGCTTG